ACATTTAAAATTAGTTCAACTTTTGATCCACTATCAGAAATCTTTAAACGCGGAAAGTTTCAGATTTCCCCAATAGTCCATTCTTCCGAAACTCTGAAAAGGAAGTCTTGCGGTGAGAGTTTTTAGCATTTATACTTTTCAGAAAATGTTTTTTTGTGCTTGCCAGCATTTAAATGAATGAAAAAAAGAGGAACCATTTCACAAGATTCGTTAGGGGTGCAACAAATCTTTAAGAGATTTGGGATTTGGCCTAGATTTGGTTCTAGACTTAAATCTCGTTTGAATTCGGATTATGGCTGTCATTTAGACCGGATTCGAACTGTTACTAGGAATTTCAATTATATAACGATTTGGACTTGGGGATTTGGATTTAGCTATAATTTAGAAGGACCCTAACTTTTCATTTCTTATACTGTGGAACCCAATCTGAACACCAAATCCAAATCTAAACCCGAATTCAAACCCAAATCCGAATATCTACTAAATTCGATCTATTTCATATGAATTTATGAGACTGAAGATCATTTTACCACTTCTGGGGACTTTATCTTACAAAATCACATGATATTTGGGTAGCTGAAGACCAAACCCAAATTCAAATCCCAGTCAAGAACAAATACAAATCTATTTTTATCAAACCCCAAGGCCTTGGATTTGTTGCATTTGCACCCCTAAGATTCGTCCACAAAATCCATACTGGCATTCGGGTGAAAAAATACTGCCAAAGCGGAACCTAGCAGTGAAATATAAGCATTGAAGAATATAGAAAGTCAATTTAATTTTTGCATTGAAACGTAAATCGAGAGCATTTTGGAACGCTGTGAAATGTTGACTAGAAATTAATTTTGGAGAAATGAAGTTGAATCAATGATGGTTTTCTGAGAAATGAATGCGCGTGCACGTGATCAATCATAATAAAAAAGTATTCAACTTGTCAGATATTCATTTGTGTTCTATCTCTTTCTCAGAGGAAAATATCGTGTGATGTATGAAAAAAAAAAGATAAAGTTGAGATATAAACAAGTATCACCAACAGCGAATTCGATTCGATTAGGTTTGACTCGCATTTAGACATCATTAAATAGAGTGTATTGTGCTGATTGTTGATATGCACTTTTTTCATTTCTTTTCGTGCGAAATTTTTATTATTGGTTTTTGTTTTGGAAAATCTTCCAAAATTGTTTTTTTCAGATTCCAGGTAGCAAGAATTTATTGCAAAATTGTCATTTGATTGATTCAGACTTTGAAGGTTCACCTGCTTTAGCTACATTGGTATATTGTTCTACACATCTATTTAGGTTTCTCTTTGAAATGACCAAGTCATGAGTCTCAATTCATTAGAATCGCTAAAAACAAGGCTTTATCAGTGTGCATCTGATTTAAGGCGATTTTGACCGTTGAACGATTGTCAATCAATAAAATAAATAAAACATTCGGTGTTAGCAGCATCGTAAAAGAAATGAAAATGAACGATGTGATGAAAGAGATTTGAATGCCCCATAGAACACTGCAAAACTACGCTTAGGAAGAACCGACGATATGCAAAAACTACATTATAAAATTGTATTGCAGGTATATATTCTTAAAGAATAAAATATGCACTGATGCAGCCTAAGACTTGCGACTTCTTCTTTTCAAAGAGAAACCTACACTGATTTGTAGAGTAGCATACGATCATTCCTGCATAGGAGATTTCAGCATGGCTAAAGTAGACAGACCTTCAAAGTCTCAATCAATTAAATGGCAATCTTGCATTCAGTTCTTTCTACCTGGAATCTGAAAAAAATCATTTTAAAAGACTTTCTACGATAAAAACCCAAGATAAAAATTCGGCGTTTTCCTGAAATAAACTCTTTTAACCAAGATTTAAATCACTCGAATTTAGTCACTTTTGCTCATTAAATATTTATTGAAAAGAAATGAAAAAGTACATATTGATAATCAGCCTTTTTTTTTGTGAAATGTTAGATCGCAAAAAAAAAGTTAACACATGCGAGTTTGTCGTTAGCTATCTTTTTTATTTCATTTCTAATTAGACAAAAAAATCAGAGTAATTCAAAGGGTTACTTACTATTTCCATTAGTAAAATTCAACGACGAAATTATATCGAGTAGAATTTTTAGCAATAATGTAATTCTAAATTCTTGTCTAATATCAAAAGCATTCTAATCGTTTTCAAAAGCATTTTGTTATCTTTCATATTCATAGAAACACTTAAAGAAATTGTGTTGGATGACTACCATTATATACATGACTTGTTGTGTAGTGTTTCTCTTGCTTTGTTCATTTTCTTAGTAGTTTTTATCATTTATCTTTAGCATTGAAGAAAAAAGATGTAAGTGGGTGAACGATGTTTTACAGCTTTTTTTAATACTGAGTCGCCAGTGTTAATAGTTTCTGTTGGTGTATTTTTGAAATTACATTCTCCATTTGTCTTTCTCTTTTTTTTATTCTTCATTTCTTTTTAATTTTGAGAGTAATACTAAAATGTATGTATATTGCTTGTTGTATATACTGATTACACTTTACAATTCAACGATATTTTAGACAAAATTATTGAAACAATCAACGGCACAACACAAACAAGATATTATTCTAGATCAATTCCATGTATCTGTATGTTAGCTTGATGATAATTGTGATTGTAATAGACTTTATAATTTTTTAGAATCCGTTTCTTCACGACACTTTTGTACACCGAAAAGGTGATCATTATCTATTCGATACTTATTATTACAGCAGGAATCATCAGTATTCCAATCATCTGTCTCACTCGACACAGTAAGAATAAACCTAGAACTAAGATAATAAGATTTTTCTGTGCTTTCCCTCAGAGTAAGACTGTACAATGTCATATCACATCATTTTGAACAACCAAACACATTCAGAATTTTTTTCTAATAAAACATAGGCGTTTGAGATCTTTTTAGATAGTATTAAGTGTATTGAGAATTTTTCTGTTAATCGATAAGAGACTCTATTCTGTCCGTATGCTACTCCTAACTATATATTTCTAGAATCAAAGTTGTTGACGCAGTGTCGCGAAACTTGTCGAAATCCACATTATCGTATAAAGAAAATCTCATTCATTATGATCTTTTTTCATTCATTGGAGGTAATGGCGAAAGTTATTCGTGATTCATACAGTTTCATGAATGTTTTTGTTTTATACAGGAAGAAAATTAATTCTCTTATAATAGCCGCAGTTATTTTTAATAAATTTTTCTTATTGGCTTATTCAGTATATCTTTGCCGATCACTTATGCATTTGAATCATACTATTTCATCGAAATTTCGGTTTATATATGAGAATTGACTGCTACAAATCGTAAAAATGCTATTCAAACGAAAGTTTGTGCAAATCATCTCCACTAGTTTCTAATTAGAGTGACATTTTAATCAACTCAGTTCAAGTTCGATCAGATGTGTGTTTTGAGCAGAGGATTTTTTTACCTCAAATAGTTTTTGACGTAATCTGAATGGCATCAATTTGACATTAGTTATTCAACACTAATTTCCTAAAACTATTGAGTGAATTTTGTCCAGTACATACACTATGATGTATATACATAATAATGATATATTTTATCTGTTGGGTTTCTATTAATTCATTTTCTATTCACTAGTTGATTTGTATAATGTAAAAATTTCAACATCATCAATGATGACGTCAGCCACTACTACAGAAGCGACAATAACAACAGTACTTGCTCCGGCAGGTAAAGAAACTGGTAAAATCAAAGTGTATCTCTAAAATATCATACTTATATTGACAGATTTGATTTCAAATCGTTGCACCGCATCAATCTCGAATCCTGTTGTTCTGGCTTACGTTTCCGATTTGCCAGCCTTGAAATATACGACCTACAAATTTAGATATCAAACACGTGTAAATTCAACGAATAGTACGATCGCATTTGGCTTCCAAAATGAGGTGTTTTATTGGCTGTTAGACAACATTATTGTTCGTGACACGATCACACGTGCAACTGTAAATCATGATGGAAGTTTCGAATCCAATAACTTAACCCAGTCATATTTGCAATGTAATACCTTTTCTGGTATAGAATATATCACGGACGGTATCGAATCAATATACCCATCATCAGCAAAATATCATTATATGGCAAGGTCCCATTCAGATATCAACTACTTACTTCAATCATTTTCAACCATAAGCAAACGCTGGTACAATATCAGCTTTCAACTGGCCAGTCTTGGTGATCCGCCGAGACATTTCATCTTGATGGTTGGCTCTTAAAATGTTTTTTCGACGAATATTAATCAACAAACTCTTATTTGACTTGAACAAAGTCGATAACTATTGTAATAAACTAGAATCAAGAAAGATTCAAATAGATTATCAATATTGAATTGATTAAAAAAGAGTCATATGTTTCATCGTCGACTATACATGGACTTTGCAGTTTTAGCAAAATATCAGAAGGCTTGAAATATCTACGTTCATAACTTCAATGTCTACTCAAATATTGAATCTTATTACAATAGAGAATGTGAGGATCCACGGGTTTTGAGTGGATTGAAATTAAAGTAGACATTTTTTATAAAAATAGCAAAAGTAGAATGATAACTTATGGAAGGTGGATCGTTGCCGTCATAGGTTTGCTTTAAATTTAATGTGAATTGCCTAATTTCACTAATCGATTGGAAATGCAGATAATGAAAATCAAAGTTTCAGGTTGTAATCATTTATGTTCGGCTGAATCAATTCCAACTATTTTCATTTTAAATATTAGAATGTGAGTGTGGGTTTCAGGGAGGACTACGAGAACAATCACACCCACACCCACACCCTTCAACCAAGTTGTTCAGCTTTCTTAAATTCCATCTCTCGAGTTTTAGTTCATACTGAAATATATCAACAACATCCGACGATAAAAATTTTGAGACTTGTTTTTCTTTTTCAAAAGATTTCCACTTCTTAGCAAATGATATTCAAAAAAACAAAACAATTAATGAAAAATGTTTTACATTAGTATTTATAATTCAAAAGAGTTCGGAAATTTAACATGAGATGGTTTTAGATCCTTAAAAATTTGTTCAAAGGATGGCCGACGTTGAGGCTCCGCATGCCAACATCGTTCGATTAAACTTTTCAAGAAGTTTGGAGTTTTTGAATTTATTCTTGGTCGATTACCTAATCGAGTATAATTTGCAGCAGCAAATGGTCCCCGTCCTAAAAAGTTTAGAAATTGATCTGTATATGGTTCTTCTTCTTGTATAACTTCGTTGAACATCACGCCAAATGAATATATATCACTAGAATATTCTGGTGACTTTGAACTATTTAAAAGTTCAGGAGCCATATAACCTGCAGTACCGCAAACTGCTAATCCATCTTCAGGCATAAGTGAAGAAGCAATAGAACTTGACGTTTTGCCCCGAAGTGTTGCTAGTCCAAAATCTGTCACTTTAGCTGTATAATCTTTTGATACTAAAACATTTTGAGGTTTTAAATCTCCATGAACAATATTGACAGCATGTAATTGAATCATTCCGAGAACAGTTCCAAGAATAAGTTTTTTCTTTATTCTTCCATCTGTTATTCTTGCTTCTATTTCTGCATCTTCACAATAATGAAGTAAATAATTCAACGAACCTAATTCAACATATTCCATAACGAGACAAAGAGGCTCTAATGTATAACCATACAAATAGACTAAATTTGGATGTTCACCTAAAGTTGACATAATTGTAATTTCTTTCACGAATGACCTCTTTTCTCTTCTGGTTAATTTTTGTAAATGTAATTCTTTTACTGCGACAGTTTGATTATTCCATGTTGCTTTATATACAACACCAAATGAACCTTGACCTAATTTGTCATCTCGATCAATGTTCAAATCATGATAATCAATAGCTTGAACTGATTCTGAAATTTGACTAGGTATATCGTAGTCATCATCTTGTCTATTAAAATATCTACTTGTTGGAGAACAAAATTCACGTTGAATTTCTTCTGTTTCAGGTAATATTTCATATTCAGGAATCTCAACATCAGCCTCTCTAGCGCTTTCCACAAGAGCTCGAAAGAATAAGTTTTCCAGTTTTTGATAATAATATGCTAATCGCTGATCGGGATCATAATTTGTTGATGGTGTATCCTTCCATTTTAAGTATTCTTGTGTTATTGGTTTTGAAACATCAAGAGAACCATCTTTAGTTCTAGGTATCCATGAAGGAATATCTTCCATGCCATTTTGAGCTTGCTCTCTAACCCATTCTTTAGCAGCTGCTGTTCTCATATCTGGAATACCCGCTTTGGTCAGAGGAATATTTTCTGGTATTCCATGATCGGAAAATGCGCATCCAGATTTATAATTGGTCATAGCATTTTTAGAAGACGAATATCGCATATCCAAACTACCATCTTTCTTATAATGAAGTCCAGATGAACTAGGTGGTCGATTAGTATAACTTGACTGGGCAGAGGAAGCAGCAGCTTTTGAAGAGCTGTATCTCATATCCAAAGTACCATCTTTCTTATAATGGAGTCCGGATGAAATAGGTGGTCGATTAGTATGATTTGATTGGGCAGAGGAAGCAGCAATCTTCGAAGAGCTATATCGCATATCCAGAGTACCATCTTTCTTATAATGAAGTCCAGATGAACTAGGTGCTCGATTAGTATAACTTGAAGGGAAAGAGGAAGCAGCTGCCTTTGAAGAGCTGTATCTCATATCCAAAGTATTATCTTTCTTATAATGAAGTACAGATGAACTAGGTGGTTGACTTATATGATTCGAGTGAACAGAAGAAGAAGCAACCCTTGAAGAATTATATCGCATATCCAAACTTCCATCTTTCTTGCAATGAAGTCCGGGAACAGCACTTGCTCCATAAGAGACGGGTGAATAGCTTGCACCTCCACCATATCCAGAAAAACCCATGCCAAATCCAGATGACGCTGCCATTCTTGATGAACTATATCGCATATCCAAAGTTCCATCATTTTTGAAATGAAGATCCATAATAGTTCGATCAGTAAATTCTTTGCTCAAAGATAATTATCAGTGGTATGAAACAATTGATAATGCAGCAGATATATTTATTTCAAAATCTACAATTTTTTTTAACAAATGAAAACTCATCGCTAATGAAACACAAATAGATTCATTTCGACTGTCTATGTCAAAATTCTCTCAAGATTGACTAACTGTACAATATTCTTCGGGACATGCTTGAAAATGTTGTCTGTAGATATCCAAAAACTTTGTAGATTGTTGGTTACAGTTAACTAGATCTGATATTATCAAAGAATTTTTCGAAAAATTTCGTTCTATCAAAAAACTGTTTTACAAGTTCTCTTGTTCATCTGATTTTAACTTGTGAGCTTCGGCTGTTGTAGTCCTAGTCAAGAATAACTGCCACTTTAGAAGTGCACTCATTTCTTATTAGTTGAAGAGATCATTACAAGTTTCTCGAATTAGTAGAAGTCCAATAAAAAAATGTACAAGCATATATCTAGTGCTAAAACAAAATTCAACTATCGATTGGATGATTTTCATGTCACTATATCCAGATTGTTTCAAAATTTTGCAAGAATAGATTCCGTTAAGCTGTTTCTAATCAATATTAAAGATCCTATTCTTTAGGAGAATAAATTGTTCGATAGCCAAAATCGCTATTTGTCTCGACGAAGAATTTAACTTAACACTCTGTAGAAAAACGTCGTCGTAAACAAGAATCTTGCTCGGAATTCAAAGAACCTTAAAAATGAAAGAACTATACACTTTACGCGCACTATAATTAAGCATTGCTGATTATTAAAATATTATCTCAAATAGAAAAGATTTACTTAGTTTGAAATAGAGTATCGTACGTTGAACTGTAGTTGAATCATTATTTAGATTTCGTGATAATATTTTCGATAACAGTGGAATGGTGCATATGTGATGCGATTTCATTGATTCTTGTACTATGCAACTGGGTTTTTTCCCACTTTTTTTCCCAGCTTTCTTCTCTGTTTATACAAATCAGAAGCAAGAATGTAGAAGAACAGAAAAAAAATATGACAGAACACTTTTTGTGCTTAGAAATGAAAGAAATCGTTTGCCTGCATCATTAAATATAGTGTTACTGCATAAATATAGCAGAGATATCAATGTCAGCGACAGAGTGACGGCACTTATTTGTTTGAACTACTGCAGCAGTGGCAATGTATTTTTTAAATAGATAGTAAAATCCTATGAACTTTCACCCTATTAGAGTTTCTGCAACTGCAGCAATCATACTCGTGGTGACTTTGATGTATTCAATCTAATTATGGTTATTTAAATTTCTTGAAACCTATTGCAACTAATTTTTAGCTCACCATTGTCAGACTGAGAACTTCGTGATGAAAACGGATTCTAATTATCAGCAGCATCCGATAGCTCTTGAAAATAAAATTGTTTTTACCTGCATTTCAAGCAACAAACACAAAATAAAATCAATAAAAAACATGTTTATAGTGTATTATTTTCACTTGACTTATTGTTGCCATCAAAAATGAGATTCTTCGAGAAAAAAACTATGAATCATTGTTAACAAGTAATAATTCCACTATTGTGAATATAGTTGAAATAAATCAAGAGATACTTGACTGACTAACAAAGTTACAAATTTTTCTTCGAAGAAAATGCACTTCTTTATACGAAAGGCACCAAGTCTCTATAATAAATATTGTTTTTTTTTTAATATAAACCCATTTGTAATAGAATGACGACTCAAAACATGCATCCAGAAACACACAGAATAGAAAGAAAAAAAAATCATCTCATGGCATATGATTTCTTTTTGAAAGAATAGAGAGAAAGGTTTGTTTTTCTGTTGTAAACAGCTTGTTTTTATCATCTCTTTTCAACTGAATAATTAAATATTATTTAATATAGTACAATCTGAATTGAATCACACAATAATAATAAAGTCATGAAAAAGAATATGATGAAAATATTTTATCAAAAAAATAAATGATTTACAATCGTAGATAGTTTCATAATGATTGCATCTTATGAGGTTGAGTCGTTCAGAACAGACTGCCTAACAGACATACACACGTATTGACTTGAGTGAGTCATGTGAAAATTTAATTTTGGTAGTCGAAAGTCATATTTTTCTTAATCTCATTCTTGTCATCTGATTGATCATAGTCTACAATGTATGAACACATATTATACTAAATACATACCAGTGATGTAACCAAAAAATTATGCGTGGTAGAGCTGATGCTCAAGCATCTTCTGTCAACCTTTAAGCCCTCCCTCTTCTCAAAATCGATGTGCTGTGTAGGATGATCCGTTTAGGCTGAAATTTTCAGAAATCAATGATCGTAGTGAGAAACACTTCTAATAAAAATTTGAGCTCAATATGTCAAACTAGACGGGGCTTCTGGCCTATTGATAGCCCATTTTTAGCTTGCAAGAGAATCCTTTTAACTTGCCTATTACAAGAAATAGAGGACTCGGGCTGGTTTCAAATTAAAGCTAGCTCCAATGTGCAATTTTTCGTCGGATAGAATTTTGAAATTGGTTTTCATTCATTTGTTATGATCGTTTTAGTACACATGGAGTCGAAATAAGCCAAAAAAATGCCATTGCATGACACTAAATCTCGCTTTTCTTATTGCAGAAATCAAATATAAAAAATTTGGTCGGACAAAATTTTACTCTCGCTTAAATCTTTAAAACAAAAAAAAATATTGATATTAACTTGAATCGTGCGGGAGTTATTTCCATTTTTCTAATCAAAAACCATGTTTTTGAGAAAAATAATAAATAAACTAAGAAATTGATTTTTTCATTCAAATTCAGAAATAATAGGATATTGATAATATTTATGGGAAATCTTAGAAAGCATGCAATAGATGATGTAAGCTAGCCCCATGGTCTGTACGATATCGTATAATAATATCTATTCCATGCAGATAGAAGTAGCAAAATAGCGTTTTCAAAAATATCAAAAGCAGCCAAAATCTCTCCAAAAACCGAGTAATGAGCTGGAAATCTCCTACGGAGGTCTGTTAAAATTTGTTTTTTTTAAGCCTATATATATTCTGAAAGAGGAAACTTCGCTGCATCTTCCTATGATAAAAAACTCAACTTCTATCACATTACGAAAAAATGGATTTGCTGAAGGGGGAGGCTCTTAATATCGTTGAAGATGCCTTCTCAAAAACCATGTTTTTTCCAGTATAAAAGATATATAGTCCATTCTTTTTACGATTTTTTTTGTTTGTAGGAAGTAAGTATATTGAAATATGTCTTATATTGATATTTTCATTTGACCATCGCTATACTTTTCACAAATTATGAATTACACGGAATTCTCTGATAGGAAGAGAAAACCATGTGTCACCATCGACAAATATCATACTAGACTGCTATTATTACCGGCTCTAAATATTACAAATTGGAACCTTTAGAGTGAAGTGCTCACTGAAACTTGAGTAATATGACATACATGTTATGTTCAAACATCAATCTAATTCATTCACATCTGATAGCATACTCAATATACGTATCATGAATTAAAGTATTTAGAAAGAAAAACATAATACTGGCAAAGCAAATTCTTACTTACATATAAAAACTTATTTTCAAACAACAGAATTATTTTCTGAAAAAGCATACAAAGATTAATGACTTGTATAAAAATTTCGTTTAGATTAATTAACCATCTAAGAAAATCTTCAAGGAACGTTGAAATTAATTATGATATTTGTATTTTATTTTTCGTATTGATACTCATTCTAGAACTTTACATTGATTGAAAGCATTCTTATTCTAAATATGGATAATATGGATCATTCAACTTTAGATTCTCTCTATCGGTGTCTCTGTTACCAGCATTGGCTCGTATCTTTAAATAAATATCTGTATTTGATTCAGTTCCGATGTGTTGCGTTTTATTCTGTTGTGATATTGATTTTACGTCAGAGACAATATGATCAGCTTCTTTTGCCTGTCGTTCTTGTTCTTCGAGAAAAATTTGAGATTTTGCTGCTTCAACTTCTTGGTTAACAATGGTCAATTTTTTCTGAAGATCATCGCTTATTCTTTTTTTTGAAATCTCAAGTTTTTCATGTAGTTTGGCCAGTTCCGTTGATCGCCATCTATCCAGTTCAACAATATACTTTTGCAACCATTCGCGATACAATTCTTCATGTCTTGCTTGTATTCCTTGTGCATATTCTAACAACCGATTTTGTTCGTCTGTCGTTTCGTTAATAATCAATCCAAGTACTCGCTCTGCTTCTTTCGATACTTTTTCGAGTCGTCGTTGAATGCTCTCATTGGATTCCATATGAGCTACATTGAGTCTAGCCAGTAATTTTTTCATTTCGGCTGTGGGTGCCATAACAGATGAGAAGCCTGTTGTAGTCTTCAGTGTCATTTGAACATGTGCTGAATTGAAAACTTTTGAATCGGTATAGTCTGATTTTTTTGTCTCAGCTTTCTGTGCATGAGGAAAATTGATTGTTGTTACTTTTATCGATCGTCGTGTTGCTGCTAAACCCTAAAAATGGAACACAACTGTTATATTCAATGGGAATTATGAGGCATTGTATGAAGAAAATATGTTTTCTTGACTGATTTTTCACTACTTTTATCAAATAATTGAAAAATATCAGTGATGTGACTACGCAGTGGATGAACGATTAGTTCTGAACAATGGAACAACCTACGAGTACAATTTATTGCCACGATTGCCAAGTATAGACTAATTGAATGTTCTTATAGTACTTACAATAATTATCTAAATATGATTAACTATCTTTTTTTGCAATCAATATGAGTAGATTGATTCATGAGTATTTCATATAATGAGCTTCAATATCAGCAATGTAAATAAAGAAAAATACGGACTTTTACTAGTATAATAAAGCATCAGCATGACCGCAAGACGTAACAGATAGAAGTAGAATCGTCTTATCATTTGTGATCGCACTTATTAATACGTATGTAATTAGATGAAATTTTGGACTTACTCTCTCATATCGATCTTGAACCAATGAATACCGTTTTTTATCGATATGATTATTTGGTACAAATTCTTCTTCTCTTTCTTCCTTGGGCAGTGGCCACTTTAACTGTTGTTTTTCTTTTTGTGTGTTTGGTTGCGATAAAGTTTCACCTTTTAATTGTTCTTTTGGTTGCATTGCATTCTCTGGTATTCTAGGCTTTTTCAATTCTGGACTAGGTACTTTTCGATTCTCGAAGCTCGAACCGCCACCCATGATCGAATATTCAAGGCTACAGAATATATACGCAAAAAAACATAGAACATTGATTAATTATAAAAAAAAAATAAGAACATGGTTATTAGCTCATTTTGAAAATGTTTCACCGAAGAACTTCCAAAGTAAGTCTTATTATATTTTGTTACTTGTGCCGACTTACAAATCAGCAAGTTCTTTAATAATCAATCTCATCAGCAGTTCCTATTACAAACAGGCAGATCCAATATCAATAGCTCTAGACAATACTGTCTTTCCATTCCAGTAGATTGCATTCGAACCGACTTTTGTCATATCCTTTACAATAGAATTCCTAATCAAACAATATGAGAAACGATCCGGTCGAATCTTTTCGAATTCTATGGTCCGAATCAACTAAATCTTATTTTTCAAAAAGAGAAAACACAAGAAAGTAAAGGATTCTATAATTGATCTAACCAGATAGCATTGAATACTGGCATCTAGATACTGGAATCAATCTACTTACATCCATTTCTCTGTTACATACGAAGGAAAACCAGAAGGAGTAGTCTGAAAAAATACCTAATTAATTACTAAAATAATATTATGATTATTCACATAATCGTGAAGATGCTTACGTTTTAAGATATGTTCAGTTAGCGAGATATTCACTTAGAATATTATATCAAACCTTTCAAGAATTTTTTTTTTTGTTCAGTTGAGTCAGATCGAATTTGGTTTTGACCAAACTATCTGTTCTTTATTATTCGTTTTTAGAATATTGTCGTGATTCGCCTTAGGAACTGAAAAACAAAATCTAAATACAATTTGAAACCTTGCAATACAAAGTTAGGTGAATTGGATATCTTCTGTCATTTTTCAAATAGAAGTTCCAAATGTACTAGAATTCAATTCAATAAACATCTGAAAACTTCGATCCATGAATTCTCATACGTTTTTGCAAATGAAACTATTCTTTAACTAATCCATCATACTGATTCAACTAACTTTCCTTATTTGCAATAGACATGCCTTCTCGATATGGCATGTAGAACCAATAAAAAAAAACTATACTCGAAATGTAACTCAAGTATGTTTACTTTGAACATCTATATCTCTATAATAACTAATCTGTTTGAATCAAATTTTCTAGCTTCTTCTTAACTTTGCTAGTGCATCTAATAGCACACATGTCTATATCTTGAATTTATGATTTTCTATGTATTATTCAAGCTCTGCCAAGCGCGCACAATTATGATGGAGAGCACAATCTTAGCTGAATACATATTATGATTCATGAAAACTTTTTTAAAAGAAAATGATCGCAAGTAAGTGCTATACTCTAATTCTACTTTTACTGAATTTTTTATAATATTTGACTGTTACCTTCAAAGCTTGAATTGAATATACATTTTGAATTTTGTTTTAGCCTGAAAAAAAACATCCTACATGAAACTAGTTTCTCTGGATGGACTTTAGTGATAAAAATGGCAATGAAATATTTTTTTTTCAATCTTGAATGAACAAAATAAATCAACAATGGTTTCCTACGTGAAGGTGCTCTCTAGAAAAATCGATTTCTTTTTAGACAAAGAGAATTCAAAATACAATCGTTTCTCTTACTTCAATCACTATTGTACAAGAATACGTCGTTTTTTACCATACAACGAATGAATGAATGACTACTGTTAGAGAGAGCGCAAAAATGATTTTACTTCTGTCTCATTGTACATACAATGTATTTTGTTTTGTGAAAAAAAAACTAAATGGAAACTATTTAATCAACATGATGATGGAATTATTTTATCGATTTGTTAGAAATATGTAAACCGTATTGCAGCGATGCCATTTTAAATAAACAACATTGAATGAAAGGTAATTAAAAACATAGGTGTTGAAAAAAAATTATCTATTAAATAGTAAAATTTCTTAAAAACTTGATTAAATTTCTCGTAGGAATAAATTTCTTCAAGTCAAGAGTTACGACAGTCGTAAACGGGTGTGCATGATGCTTTGTATAACCACTGTATGTATAGTATTTTTTGCATTTTATTCAATTGACATTTATGTATGTTCATTCATAAACGGTTGCATAACGAATCTTTCAGTCTACAAATAAAATATGACAATAAAAATCGTTTAAATAAAAGCATCATCTAGAAAAGCATGACGAACGAGAAGTTAAATTCTTTTGAACATCTGATTTTATTTTAATACCAATAAGTTTTTTACAGTTTGATTCTAGTGCACTTGAATATGTTTACTACATTATCTCATCTAGAGTAGTCACAGATGAACCGAGACTAGATGATTTGAAAACAGTTTAGTTATTTAATCGTTGTACCTGTTACCAACATTTACACTTGTGATTTTTTTGATAAATTAATTGATAGAAAACTTTTTTTTGACAGGGTTTCTTTTTATAGTATTTTATTAAAAAGTATCCGATGGATATATCAAATGATCTCATCTTGACTTTAAAAAAAAAATTTGCGTCATCTATAATAAAATTTGAAGACTTTTATTTGAAGTTTTTCAATATTGAAGAGAAACTAGAAGCAACTATAACATAGAAAAAAAGATACTAGATAAAAAATACAACATTAAATGATTAATCTATTTTTAGTCGATCTTTGAATCTAAGTATTCGAGACAAGTTGTCGATCTCGTGAAGAATTTGAATGTGATCCACTACCTTCTATAGTTTCATTTGCAGTTGTTGTATTCGTAGGTTTAATACGATGTACTTTTCGAATATTCTTCACACTCCATACTCCAAAAATAATCATTAATGATGGTGCAACAGTTTCTTTAAAAAGTGAATAATAACTCATGAACATTAGATACCAACCCGATTGAAAATAACATAAGAAAATATTTGGTCCAATTGGTATAAGATTTGTAAAAACTAATATATGACTAAAAAATAACATCCAAAATAATGTTCCACCAATAATCAATTTATAAGCAAAAAGATGTGTATTTCTTTTTTCGTGTCAATGCATTTGGTGAAGTAACTAAAATACGATCTATTGAAGCTAAGATTAAATAATAAGCATTTAATGTATTAATTACAACAGCTACATAAAGACTAAAATGACAATAGACAAGATTATATGAACTAATATCTATATTATAACCTATTCCAAGTGTTAAAGATAATAATGAAATATAAATATATATAAAAATTAACAATATAAAGTGCTATAAAGTAAGTTGAACAAGGAGTTTGACAAAGTGTTTTTTGAGTAAATACAATTAAACTTCATATGCAGTTTCAACTGCCGATAAAGATTAAGATAGGTCCACCATATCGAAATAAATTTTTTTGTATTTAATTTTAAGAATGTGATGAATTCTTCTGATGCTGAATTTGACGACATAGTGACTAGTATCTTTTAAAAAATAGACAAATATTATTAATTGTTGCAGAGATATTGAAATAAACATACGATAATATTTTATAAGAGAAATTTTTCAAGTGCCTGTTTTAATAATATTAACTGAATACTTTACTGAAGCTTATATATTACGGTATTTGTAAAGTAATAATATGTTTGTTGCCATAAGAATCCTAGGATTTTTTCTTAATATTTAAATAAGTAGTAAAAAAAAGTACATCTGTTCAGAACAAAATCAACGTATTAGTGTAGACTCATGCTGAATAAATATCTGTAAAAGATATGAATATCCATCTGCATTCAATGAGAACATTTATATTCATGAACGTCTGTACTTTGAAATAGAAGAGATTCAAAAATCATACATTATATGATTGATACTAGATGTCCATATTAACTATCTCTATTCATGTTTATGATTGAACTAACTGATATTTGGATTAATAATAAGAAAGACAATAGCAATGTTTCGTTTACCTAAACTGATAATACATAGCAGATTATTTTCGGGAAATTTTTGTAATTGAAAATTCACAAGAAAAATTATTTGTAAAATTCATTTAGCATTGGTATAGATAAATGAAGCTGAAAATGTATAGAAATATAACAGATCACCACTAAAACTATACGTATCTTCAGTAGTTTCCAAAAATATTGCTTCACTTACTTTGAATCAAATTGCACGAAATATTTATCATTAATGCTTAAAGATTCCAGTAGGCTCCAAAAACTAAGAAGTACATATCAAAATGACCTTCCTATGCGCATCATTAATCGCCGAATTTTGCTAAAAGACGTCCTTCTCATATATTCTCAGCTTCGAAAATTTTGTTTTCCTTTGCAAATTTCTCACCTATCGAATGCTAGCTATAATTAGCGGTGTAATATGTCAAAAGGCGAAACAATTCATTCAGCCTTAATAAACATTTTCATCTGTTTTTTCATCTTTGACTTAGTGGTTTTTTAGTAAAAAGAAAATTGACCGATTACATTTTTTTTTTAATATTGCCTCTATTGTAACTTTTTTTTTCTTTCTACAATCGATAAAAAAAACGCAAAAGAATGTAGGTCATAGCGTAAAAACGTGCAAGGACGCATAGAGCAGAAATGACATAATGAAACACATAAATGGACACATTTTACACTCGCGTTAAACGTTTTTAGGATGAAAGTGAGAATATGAAAAGATCTTGATGCCAAAAAAAGCATTTTATAACTATTGATCGAATTTTATATATAAATGTGTGATTGCATGCAAACATATGTACGAGATTTATTTTTATTTTAAATTAAATGAATGATTTTTCTATTTTAGTAAAAATCATTTTCAAATTCTAGAGATTGTTGTAATTCAGGATCTGATCGCTGATACTGTTCATCGTGCTGTTTGTGATGGTGGTAATAATAGAAACCATACGTATAATTTGACAATGAGTTTTACTAAAGTCAAAAATTCATTAAAGTCTTTAAAATAAAAAATAAATCTTGTACATATTACTACATAAAATGAAACATATTTATTCAATTGCAACATTTTTACATTGTAAGATGAAGCAAAGATCATGTTGTACTTACTATATTGATTTCGTATTTCATTCTATTCTCATATATCATGGTTTCTATTGTAATGACTATTACATATGAATAGTCATGGAATAGAAAGAATATGAGTGTTTTATGAAATATCGAAATCATTCATGCAGGTCTCTTTATGAAATTCTTACTTCGTTGCAAATACTGTCATATGAATAAATGTTTACGATAATGTAATCTCATTTTAGTTGATTAAATAATGAATGCTGAACAATCATTAAAAAATAGTCATACATATTATGGTACGATACTTATTCTCGAAGGTTTATTATTTCTTTTATGTCTACTTTTAATGATAACGTTATTATAATTATCATCTCTTAAAACAACACAAGCAGAACAATATGCAAGAATTGCTGGTTTAGCTGTAGCTACTAATGGATATTATTATGTTATTACTGAAAACAATACATTAATTGCTTTTTATAACTAATAAAATCGATTTATAGTTAACAAATGAATTAAAGCAAGCTATGTTTCCTCATATTCAGAGCTAGTATTGTTGGGCGTTTATCAGTTATTCCTGCTGGTCTTATAATCATTTTCTCTAGGTAAAAATCGTGTACTTCCTATTAATAATAATAGTTTGAAACGAACAATCAAATTATTTTATCGAGAAATAACAATTTTTAAGAATTTATTTGAAAACAAACACCTTAATTTAGATCACGATTTTGCAATATCACATGTAGATCATGTGATTAGCTTTAATGCAAGCATATCATATTTCGGTTTAGTCACATTGCGTTGAAAAATTAAAGTTAGTTAATTAATTTTGAGCATCGATATTATTGTTTCTTTCATTTTGTTGGCACAAATTTTTTTCTTCATTCGTCAAAATTTTTCTATTTAAACGATATTTCTAAAGAAAAACAAAACTGTAAGCAATCTTTTTACGATTTGAAATATTTATCTCATGCCAATGAATTCATTCCATAACGATCTATCAAGTCAATAATTCGCTAATTTCAATAAATAAATTTTCCATTTCATGAAGGCTTGTTCTAGTTGCCTACAAGTTGCTCAATCATAACTATGCTGAGCGTATCAGGTTTTTATCTTATTAATTACTCTCGTATCAATTTGAGTTCGAGATGGTCATATTTACATCAAGGCAATGATGTACTTTCTATTTACGTGAATGTGTAGCCATTAATTGATTAAAATGTCGAGCGGACATATCTTGCTAAGGTACATTCTACTGATACGATAAGCAGACAATAACTCGCTAGTGATAGCCAAGTATTCGAAACTGACTCTATATTATTACTTTTTTGTATTGAGGATAGAATCATCTTTCTTTTTCTTTGAGGATGTTGCAAAACCTCAACTGAATACTAACACTCATTATTTTCTTCGAAAATTGATGTGATAATTGTTTAGAAAAAAATTTGTCCTTACGGAACGAACTTATTTAGAAGATATCCACGTAATGGAACGATACTTCATCTGTCATTCGGAAACTTATTACTTCATTTATATTCAGTGGTATTGAACTAACATTACTTATTTTTGGCTTACAAGATTTGATAACCGCTTATTGGTCGTATAGTTGTTTGAAAGCGTACGAACGTGAACAAATGAACTTTAAAAAGTGAATTTTAATAATGAAAATGAAGAATTCAATATATTTAACTACTTTTTCATAATAAACTGTTTCTCACTTATATATTCTACATCAAATCTATATAAATATTCCGTATACGGTGGAAATATAAACTTAAATACTTAGGTGTATCCAAAAGTAATGTCGCGTCTATCTTATTTCCTTATAAAAGGGTCAAAAAAAAATTCTTTTTTTATAGAATGATAGAGCAAATGAAGCTCTATTTTTCTATACTTTTTCATCACTATCCAACTAGTATTATACTAATAAAATTTCGATAAGAACTGTTTTTGTGTAAAACTTAACTAATAGATGAGGCAGATTAATACGCTTTGCATTTCAATTTTCAATCACTCAATACATTGTATTAAAAAATAAAATATACCACAAGATGCAGCGTGAAAAGCTCTACAATTTATAAAGAACAGTTTATTTTATATATGAAATAAGAAAAACGGAATTTCTCTTCGCATGATTTTTTCGGGGCAGTGAAAATTGGTCGCACAGAATTTTGATTTCTTTGACAAGAAATACATAATTAAAATAAGCTTTGTTTTGTAGATTGTAGAGCTTTTCACGCTGTATATTGTGATGTATTTTGTTTTTTTTAAATAAAAGATATCAGGTGACAAAAAGATGAAATAAGAAAAAATGAATTCATCTTCTACCAAAAAATATCGTTTTCGTACGATCGAAAATTGATTGCGCAAAATATTGTTCATTTTGAAAACAATAAATGCAACTATAAAATAAGCGGTCTTATGTAAATTGCAGAGCTTTTCACGCTGCATCTTGTGGTATAGTTGGTTTTTTAACACAGTGTATTAAGTGATTGAAACATTGAATCTGCTTCAGTCGTTAGTTAAGTTTTACACAAAAACAGTTCTTATCGAAATTTTATTAGTATAATACTAGTTGGATAGTGATGAAATAGTATAGAAAAATAGAGCTTCATTTGTTCTATCATTCTATAAAAAAAGAATTTTTTTTTGACCCTTTTATAAGAAAATAAGATAGACGCGACATTACTTTTGGATACACCTAAGTATTTCTGAATGTATTCCTTATTGATCACGTGTTATCTCTTATATACATGAATTCAACTAAGAATATTTTTAGCCATCATATTAAAACTTGTAACAATGTTTTCAAACTTATAAACATTTAAATAATTGTCTTAAGTTGAAACACTCAAACGTTTCATTTAAAATAATAAAAGATGTTGTTGCCAAAGAGAAGTGATCTTTTTTTCTTAAAGAATGCAGTTTTTTAGAACATGTAAATTTAGTCAGAAGATAGTGTCTGTCTTAGTAATAGTCGTTTGGACGTCATTTGAGAGAAGCTTATTTGTTGCATTCAAATCAACACTACAGAATCGTCTTCTGCATGAATTCTGTTGAAGTTTTGTGTTTTTAACCATATGCTTTTGATGTGAAGACAAAAATAACATATGTTCATTTATATGGAACAAATGGAAATAAAATAGCTGATTAAAACTAATGGTACCAGATCATGAACACATATCATACCTTGAAGTGTCAAAGCAAGAATGATACGAGATAAAGCCACTGAACAATTGCAAGAGAACTAAAGATAAAATATTTGTACTTATGCAATTGGTTTCAAAGGTGGCGATGACATTTGATACTGTACAGACTGTGAATCTTTAGCCTAATCCTCTTTATTTATTTAGGAAAATTTAAGGAAACTTGTCAATTTTTCGTCAGAATATTGTTTCAAATTCTAGTATTTTCAATTGACAGGACATCTCATGATGACATAGGATCGTTTTTACGATATCTTCAAGTTTCTGCTGGGATTTTTCTCTCAACTAAAAACAAACGATCCTACTACAAGTCATTCTCCGTCCTAATTAGAACCTTGACAACAATAACAAAGATAATTATGCTATGATTTTATCGATTTTTTATCAGGATCTCTATATCATAATCCTCTCAGGAGTTACAACTCAATCATATGAGCATCTTAAAATGGTAGATACAGGTTTGGTTCAATCAAAATGCTGTCTTATTTCATTTAACATGATCTAACATCGAAGTCCGACGTGTACTAGACAATACATTTATAGACATGAAAGAGAGGCGAACAAATTATTATTTCGTACATAAAGGTAGTTCATATATAGAGAAATCCCTGCATAGAACTAAAAACAAGATATACTTAGCACAATTTTTAAATATCGCAAACCGTGACAGATTTGGGATCAATTAGCGACAGATCTTAATTGTAGAACTATAGACCAATTTTATCGTATTATTCTCATTTTGGACATTATTGTAGGGTCAAGATCATTTTTTCGTTATGGTCCATCATTAATTCCTAATGACCGTCCGTTTCTTGCTGGCAGCAAATAGAAATTTATGTTGCATTGAAAGTGGTCTATCTTATTCTGGAAATACTTCAAAGTAGGTATTTATCGATTACTACTCGTAGATCATAACCGTATCTTATCGTTACACTTACACTCGCATCCCTCATATAACTGCACGCTTTCTCAACTACATTCACTCCCACATAGATGTGCACTGTTTTTTCATTAAAGATTTTCTTGATATACCATCGAGATGTTTTCTTTTAATAACATCTTTTCTGTTAAAATTTTCGATACCGAAATCATCAAGAAATTCGTAAACTGTATCAAAAAATATTCGACTGAAATAGTCTTTTCTTATCACTTATGTGGGAGCAAAATGCAATTGTTACGAATTGCTTCCTTGAAATTGTATAAAGTCATTATTAGCTATAGAAAATAAAAACAACCGTTTGAAGAGAATAATCTATGTGCTTAGCTGATTATTAGTCATCATCATGTACATTTTTTTACTAAGAATAACGCTACAGTTCATCTAACTAAGTTTCTTTAAATCGGTTTTATTCAAGGTGGTTCAAATGCATATAAAGAAAAAGAGTAAAAAGGGTTATACGGATGAGTTATCACAAGCTACGGGTATCACATAAATAATGATTGTTGAAATAAGTCAATAGAGTTCTGCAGATTTGTTGTGCCTTTCAAGAAAAAAAATAGTTTGTTGTCAATAAAAAAATACGTATTAAAATGATACAAATATTAATCTTCAACATAGTCTTCAGGATTGAGTTCAGCTAAACGACGTAGTGGTTTTCGTTTTGAACATTGAAGACCAGTAAGATAGCCCACCTCATCAAAAGCTCTCAAAGCCTATGACAAAAAAAAAAGAAAAAGAAAATCATTAAACTATATTGGTCAGATAGCTTGTTTATTACATGATCGAGCATTTCTTTAGTATGACTAGCAGATAGACAAAATCGTATACGTGATTCGTTTATCTTCGTAGCCGGAAAGCCTACAGTCACTACAGCACATCCACGTTTCAACATTTCTCGATTGACAGCTCTATGTAATGAAATAATCGCCACAAAAGAAAAACAAAAAGCATAATTTCATACGCAATCTTAGCCGGTATGAAGAGCATTACTGGCACTACTGGCGAATCTTTATTTCCATATACAATGAAGCCCATATCGACAAGTTGACGACGAAAATAATGAACATTACAAGCTAACTGTTTAATACGTTTTTCACCTAAAATAATATCCAATACATTTCAAATAATTCTTATCGTAATTTAATATCTTGCCGTTATCAGTTCCATCTCGACCCATGATAATGTTAAGCGAACTGATGGCTTGATATACAATAGGTGCCGACATGCTCGACGAATAGCATGCAGAATGAGAATAAGCTCGAATATAATCGATTAAAGACTATGACAAAAACTAAATTAGATCAATTTAATATAGAGGAATATATCATACCTTTTTACCAGCAATATAACCTCCGACAGAGCAAAAACTTTTCGTAAATGTACCCATATGTATATCAATATCATTCGGATCAATATTCCAATAATCGACAACACCACGACCATGTGAACCAATAGCACCAATTGAATGAGCTTCATCAACATACAAATAGGCTTTGTATTTTTTCTTAAGGGCAATTATTTCAGGCAATTTACACACCGAGCCTTCCATACTAAAATTTTACAAAGTTAACATGAACGACATCAAGCGAAAAAAAATCATTTGTTCTACCTGTAGATGCCTTCAACAATAATTAGAATTTTTCTCCATGGTCGAAATTTTCTTGCTTGACCGTAAACTATGGCGTCATGTAATTGACACTCTAAATCTTGCATGTCTAAAAACGAATGAAGAAATTTTGTCAGAGAAAACGATTTAAAACTTTAAAATAGCAGAGTGCCACAATACTGCCATTTTCTTTGTAAAACATGATGTATGTAACAAAAATAAATAAACAAAAACCACCGTAATCAGAATAAAGCTACTCGTTCTGTCACGATATGTTAAATAAACAACTATATGAGGATAACGCAATGGATACGGGCTACAAACTTAGTGTACTTGTTGGTCTTGCAATGATTTCGAGGTGTATGACTCTCCTACTTACTCTCCAGATTTGGAAATTCAGATATCAAAACAATTAAAAGTATGAAGCTGACTACGTTGATCAGGAGTAAAGCAATCAGAAATCTCAGGAATCTAATGCTACTCTATGAAGCGAGTTTTATCTCTACTGGACTCTTCGACTAATGCCGAGTTTTTTTACTCTTCTTTCATATAGACTACTTCATAAAAATTCGGAAATGTATTCTTTAAGGTTCTCTTTAGTAGATCTACTAGAATTTGGGTGAGCAAGAGACGATTAGAAAGACCGACCTATCAGAGTCCGAAATGGAATGAATTTGATATTCCCTGCCTCGCCCTATCCGGCCCCATGTCAGTGATTCTTCGCTAGCGTCAACCTTAATTTTGTTTCTCCGTTGCCTCGTTACATGTTCTTAAGATATTTTGCATTTGTTGACCATATGATTTATTTGACTACATATTGTAAGTAGACACAAGAATACAAGAGTACAAAAAAGGGGTGTGAATATGTGAGTGTAGCTCTTGTGCTCAGTGACACGCACATCCACCCATACTCCACACTCACACCCACATTCCGGAGTCTGGCTCAGGATACCTCGCCTCGTTTCGGTCCCTGCGACCTATATATTAAAACGCAATGCAATCAAAATCGAGGACGGGATAAGTGTGTGGTACGTCTTTTTGGTTTTCTTACAACGTTAAAGGCTTTTGAACTCAAATGAGACTGTAATTATGAAAGACAGTTTTGGTATCTTTTACCCAAATATGTCATTGAATAAATGAATAGTACATCGGCTAAAAAACTAGACTCCGAAATTTGAATTTAATTCTATTGTGTCTATCTGCCTTGTATTAAGATCAATTTATTTTTGTTTTCATTGATTTCACAGTGTCGATATTTTCCTTGAGAAACATGATCTGTAACGATTACTGAGCTGCATAGTAAAAAAACGTGGACTTCGCATTCACTCCGGATATGATAGAAAAGTTGTAATGTTATAATGGATTTGAAGACTATAGAATTATGTAATATAAGAGAAGACATCTACCCACAGGACCATTATCAAAGTATATGTATTAAGGATGCGATCGTGATTATGGTGTTAGTATTAGAGATGTATGGAACGACATCTTATTGCCAGTTTCAGTCACGGCAACCAGACGAGGACCGGAGCCACGAAAAAATAGTTTAGTAATCGGTACTAAAGACTATAGTTAAGAGAGTTATCTTATCAACCATATCAGTTAGAACATAACTCAAGAGAGATGATCGAAAAAAGTGCAAGTCGTCGATTAAATAAATCAAAGACAACTATTGAAAAATTTCTTTAAATATGGTATGAACCATCTATGCAATAGTTTTCTCTAGAACGCCGTCAACACCTGGATCAGATAAGATTCATCACTAAATAGAATGTTACTGGAACTATGAATGTGACCGAGGAAAAAAAAAGTAACCGAAACCAGAACTAAAAGAAGTTAATCCAGCACATCTCGAGTTAGTGTACGTAGGGATGATAAAGTAATGTTCAGGTCTCACTGTCATAAGAGAAATGTTGTTAAAAATCGTTTTGAAGTATTTACAATTGATTTTAATAAAGAACTGTAACCTTTCATAAGTCATGAAAAAATAATCTATTTGTTTTTCTATCCAAAAATAAACGACATCTAATTTTTTTCAATGAATTGTTCATATTAGTATCGCTCGGGCTCATATTTATATCACAGATCAATGTTGATAAAAGTACAATATTAATTTTTCATAATTTGTGCAAGGTTGTACTCTTTTATCAATGATGAAAATATCAACCCATATATAGAATCGAAATATGGCGAAGATCTTCAAATTTCTCATCTTCTACTGATTTATTGGAAACCCTATTTTGTGAAATACTTATAAATTAAAAAGAGAATTTTCATTAGAGTTAAAACTCTTTGTGCATAATTAGGGTCATTATACTTCTTTATAGACAGATTTTGAGGTGAATATTTAAAACATTCGATTTTTCTTGATGTACACTGACAAAAGTGAGAAATGCAGCAACATACGCATAATTTGGAGCCGTGTGGGATGCAGGTGTAGGTTTTACCTTCATTCAAATCCGGACCTAACACAGCTCATCAAGGAAGACGAGATATATTTTTTTAAAGATCAAGCTAAATCACCATGGATCATTTCAAATATGAATACATACCATTGTGATTGAATGTTCGAACATATGCGCCAGATAAACGAGCACCAAGAATAATTGAAACATGATTCAGTTTGTCACTCAGTATAAGATCACCCTATTACAAAACATTTTATTTTTATTAAAAACAAAATAAGATGATTATTCTATACTTTGCCCATTATTGCGGGAATATTCAATGCATTTGTAGCAAAGCCCATACCAAAAGCAATACAATCTTCAACGCCTAGAAAATTTGCCATCATTCCTTCAAGAGTTTTCATATACTGTTGATTTCCTATGAGTAGAAAATGAGTACATAAATCTATTTGGTTTTATTTGTAAAAAGATGAATGTACCTAATTCGTGACGAGTACTACAAGTCGTAACACCATATCTTTCAATTGATCTTATAGCCTGTTCTGTACATGGACCTCGATTTTCGGCAAAACCTAAATAATTGTATGAACCCAAATTGATGGCCGGTATTTTTCTGCCAGTAAATCTATACCAATGAAGATTGCCAAACGAATCTGTTTGTTTTTTTTTTGTTGGCATTCACATTTATACTTACCTGAATGTCCAATTGTAGTCGTCTGTAACACGTTCCATGACATCAACTATGGGTCCAGCCATACTCGCAATTGGTTGATTGAATACGTCACGAACACGTTTATAGAGATTGCGTGTATAGAAGCACTCGAAACTTTGATAGAGTGGTACAAAATCCTATGAAGCAAAATATTCATAATTGACTTTTTATGTAGTATTGCGAAACCTTTGGGTTTGGATCTATAACAAGTTTTTTCTCTTCCAAGCCAATATAACGAAGAATATCACGTAACCATCCAAGGGCAGTATGTAAAGCAAAACTGAGTATAGTAATGACGGCAGCCCAAGTTGGTGCTTCTTCAAAACTTTCATTGTCAACAGTTATCATCTTTTTTGGGTCATTCTAAAGAAAGTTGAAGAAAATACAACAAGAATAAAATGTATAAACATAGCTAAGATTTCAATTACTTTTGATCTTGTTTCTGATAGAAATGGTGATTTCTTCAAACTGTCCGTCATCTGTACTCAGTTGCTTGTCAACAATGATGCTTATATGCTGGTAAATATCTGAAAAGATAAATTCTAAGATGCGGAAAACTCGAACTTGTAGTAATTTTTTTTTCGCCTCTTTTTTTCACATAGATCAATAGATCGTGAGCTGCTGATTACGAAAAACTTAAAGGACTCGTTTTTTTTTGCAAAAAACACATCTTTTTCAAAATGTACAAAATTTTCTACTTTCTTTTTGTCGCAAGCTTCTGAAAAAATTTTTTCAGACTCAGCATCAAAAACTGAGTATAGACAAGCTGTTAAATCAACTCTAATCCCGAAAATCTTTTGATGGTAGCGCTTCGAATGATTCCAAGCATAATGCGTATAGGTCGATTTTATTAACCTATCTCGTTTTTGTGGTTAAGTGAGAAGGCCAAATATTTTGTCTCATTCGATTTACCTTATCATTAGTCAGAAAGTTATGCATCCCTTCTTTTTCTTTTCCTTTTCTTTGTTGAGAAAACTCACTTTGAGTATATTTTGACGCAAAACGCTAGATGTCTGCCTGTAATTCTCGGTTTTCTTCATCAAAAATTAGACTTTATATGATAAGATTATCATATTCGGAATCAACTTAAAAATTGAGTCGATTGAGGTATACTAAAATCGTTTCCGATCATGTCACATTTTTTCGAGTTTTTACATTGCGACAGTGCCTGAAAATTTTATGAAAAAATCAAATGTGATGAAAATTTGTAGAAATATGCATTAATCGACTCAGTTTTTTTTCTAACTTTTCATGAAGAAAATTGAGGATTACCGGCAGACGTCTAGTTATTTGGGTCAAAATTTAGTAAAAGTGATTTTTCTTATCAAAGAAAAGAAAAGGCTAAAAAAAGGGATACGTACCCTTGTAGCTGATAGTATGATGAATCAAGTGAGACAAAATATCTGGCCTCATCATTTAGCCACAAAAACGAGATAGGTTAATAAAATCGACCTATACGTATTACATTCGGAGTGATTCGAAGCTCCACCATCAAAAGATTTTCGGGATTAGAGTCCATTTAACAACTTGTCTATACTCAGCCTTTGATGCTGAGTCTAAAAAGAATATTTGCAGAAACTTGCAACAAAACAAAAGTAGACATTTTGTACATTTTGAAAAAGATTTGTTTTTCAAAAAGAATGAGCCCTTCAATTTTTCGGGGTTAGTGCATCACGATCTATTGATCTATGTGAAGAAAAAGGCGAAAAAAAATTTCTACTTGAAATTCATTTTGACAGTCGTAGATTTAAAGAAATTTTTCATAGCTTTTAGAATCTCGATCAAAATAAATCGACTTTGCCGAGTTATATCGTTTTTTGTTTCTGAATTTTTTCATAGAAAACGTAGCTAACCTTTTACTATTGTTGAAAAACCTTTCAGCATGACCTCAATAAAATTAAAATGTTAAAGACAATAAAAACACTGCATTCCAAAATGCACAATATAATAGGTATGTTTTGCAATCGATGATTGCCTTTGCTCATTAGATAGTTGCCAATAGTGTGGTATTATTTATTATTTTTACACCTATACTTTGGATAAACTTTATCTTTTCATGTGTATGTAAGTATCCTACTTATGTAATAAAGCGTTTCATAATATTAGAAAGTAGTATATGCAGAATGAAAAATGACACTCAATCACAGTAGATAATTTGATTCGTAAACAACAAAAAAAAACCGGTGTAAATAAGATATAGGGGTGGTTATTTCCTGTCAATTTATTTTAAATTTAAGTTTTCCAAAATTTATTTTTCGATTCAACAAATTTTCGTAAATATAAATTGTCCACCCGTAATTAGATTCCAAACGGTTCTAATGTCACTCATTATTACTCTCTCAAAATGAATGTTTCAGTAAGAAGAATAAGTAAACGATGATTGAATTCGACAACCTTGCTTTATTGCAACTATTTCAGTATTCAGTTGAGTCAAAGTAAAGGGATATGAATGAACAGGAGATTGCAAAAACTTGTCTCTGACAAACAATCACAAGTGAATTGATTACCAATTTTACAGTCATCCTTGCAATCTTCAGGTTATCACTCTTTGAACATAAGTCAAAGATTTCAAGATAAACCTTATCTACGCTCTTGATCTACTTTTCTAATAATATAAAAGATCAACGTATTTCTCACAGGTTTTTTGAACTAGAATGACTATATTATGAACTCACCGTTGAAAATGACGTTTCGTAGTATGCAATTTTTGTACTATATAGACGTTGGAATGATAAAAAAGAAGGCTTCAATTCTACTATGAGAATTTCTAGAACAAATGTAACCACTGTAAAAGTGAAATTTATTTTGATCAATCTGAATAAATATTTATTGGAAGTTTTACTCGTACAAAATATGAAAAATCCTTTTCAATGTGCGACCATATATTGAACAGTGTACATCAAAGCTTACATTCATTTGCAGCTACACTCTGCGATGAAAAGCACTTGAAATAAAAGAATAAAAAAGAAGTAAAAGAAAGAGTCTCATAATTTTCATAAAACTGTGCTCTCTCTTTCTCTCTCTCTCCCGGTGACGGGCACGTTCTATTTGTTGCTACACTATAATCAACAACGACAACATCAACAACAGTAACACAAAATCATTTTGGATTCAATTGCTTTTATACTGCAGTACTACGATTTGTCGATAGATGAGAGCAGAACGCAGAAAAAAAATTGTTCGAGTATATTAGTAATGAAGGTAAATGCGTTAGAAACCATGGCATCGACGACATAGATTTTAGAAACAATTCATGGTTACTGTTCGTTAGAATTTTAAACTCTGTCATCATATTTTCTTACTAATTCTAAAAACGATGATCATCTGAGTTCTAATTTGTTCTTAGTACATTTCTATCGTTGATAACACAACTCAATCGGGATTACAAGTACTCTGATGATAGGTTTGAGAAAATGAGAATTTTCTAATAATAAATAAAATATTGTCGCTCAGTTTCTTAGAAAGAATACACCAGTAATCTATCTGAATTTTGAAAAGGTCATATTAAGAACTAAAAAGTAAAACGGCAAAGAAACAAAATCATAAATATTGATCTTTAGACTTACTGATCGTAAACTGATAACCTTATATCTGAAGCTAAGTATTTATCAATATTTGTTGACATATTTGTAAGTTGTAAAATTTGTTCATTGATTTTATTTCGATTCGGCAATGGTATAATATTTTCAATTATTGCTTTTCATTGTATTATTTTGACGAATAATGTTGAACGTTATTGACGTTGCTGTAATATATTAATACTGAAATCAACTAATTACTATCAACAATATATATTTGTTTCTTTTCAATCCTAGTCTCAGTCTTGTTCATTTTCTTGAGAAAGCCTGAAGAAATTTTTAGGATCCTATATCTGAACAGTCTTGTTAAGTTTTCTTTAGAATTCTGCTTCGAATTCTATTAGTTGCAATACGTAGGATGACTCATAGTGAAACAAGATCCTTTTCAGAATCTTTTCAAGTTCCTGTTCAGCTTTCTTTATTAACTAACTAAAACCGAAGGATCCTACGAAAATTCATTTTCGATTCTACTTAGAAATTAGACAAGAATAAAAAAAGAATTATGGTATGATTCTATTAATTTTTGATGAGCATCCGTGTAGGATCTCTGCATCAAGGCCTTCGCAAGAGTTACAGCTAAATCAAATAAAAGTCCTAAAATTAATAAAACAAAATCAGGGAGAATCTTTAAAGTAGAGGATACTGGTTTATCTGGGATTCTGGCTAGACAAAAACAAATATAGCTAAATTTTTAATCATAAAATACTATGTTTAATTTAAGATCTTTGAAATTTTGTACTTAGGGGGTGTATTTAAAATTTGATTTTGAGAATCCTATCAATATTTATAATTAATTTCGTTGAAGACCTCAAAAACAAAAATGAATCAAATAGTGTCATCAAGGTATTAGCCAGTCTCCATTTTGAATTCGTTCTACATCTTCAAATCTCGGAATCTCAATAAACTTCGCTGTCGATGTTCAGTAAAATATTTACAGGAATAAAAAAAATAGTGTAGTTTTCACTCTCAGTATGATCTAACATTCAAGACTTAAAATGAATTATCTTTTGGATATTATTTCATATAAAACTTGAAAATTGATTAAATTGATATGTTAGCATTAGTTTAGTTATTACACGATTTTTTTTTCTTTAAAAATCAAGTTTTAGCAAGAGACCTGTCTTTAAAGAAATGTTTTTCAAGTCAATTTATCCGTGGAAAAAGACTCAAACATATGTTTTATAAATTGAATTGATGTTACCACGTAATAGTAATTTTTTTTTAAACAGAAATCGATGTTTAAACTTCGATACTACATTTTAAGAACCTTTTGTCGTAATAATCGTAGTTCAATTAAAATTCAAATACAAATTGAAAAATGAGACGGAGTTTTAAGTATTGAATGCTGAACTTATATTAGAAAATAGGGTACAGTCGAGCAGGATAAACTGATCAGTTTGTCAACTGTGTGTCTAAAGATCAATACTCTTTGTGTTCATTTATGTTCTGTTTTGTTTAGAAAGTTTTGAGCTAATTCTGCGAAAAAAACCAATAACATCCCTTTGAAAGCCTAATGAAATCCTACAACGTTCAATCAAAATTTTTTCCGATGAGAAATCATTGAAATTCTTATAACATTCTGACTTCAGAGCAACGGGAAATCAATTTACACTCTACTAATATATTGTTATCATTCTAATAAAGTCTTTCATATGTTGCAGCTGCACTTTTTTTTCAGAATTTAAAATTTCCTGAACTTATGAATGGTTGAAAATACAATGGTAGACTACACAGGATCCTAATAAAATCCTGTTTTGAATCTTGTCAAGA